GCCAATAGAACGGAGCCTTGTTGGGAAAAAAAGAAAAAAAAAAAAGAAAAAAAAAAAGAAAAAAGAAAAACAGAGCTGCTAGTTGGGGTTGCTTGCACCACCCTTACTACCGGTAGCAACACTGGGCCCGCTTCTGAGATCTTCATTTTAAACATCTTGTTTCGGCCTTTGGCTACTTTGGGCTTGGCTATGGATTCTTTTATCAGTTCGCTGTGTACTACCTGAAGGGGGAAAAAAAGAAGGAATGAAGAATCCAGTTTAAGGCTTAAGAAGTGTTCTTTCTAAATCAATAGCGATTCCACAAGTGATTTGTGTTGCAATAGAGTAAACTGCGAAGCTCAAGGCCACGACAAGCCCTATCGGGCCCTGTTTCAGCAAGATCGGCCGCCCTAAGTGAAGGCGGCCCTGACAAGTGGCGCAAGGCCTATTTTGGGTTTGGACGCAGTGGGAAATTCAGGCAGTTGCCCAGCGCCAGTTGGTTGAGTAAGCTCAGGCCCTGCCTGCCTTTTTCCAAATGTATATGAGGCAGACCCTGGTTCAGACACGGGGTGTGGACTGAACACAGGCCGCTGGCAGTTGGACACGGGTAACCACCTCAGGCCGTGTCTGATTCCCTGGGACAGGGGCTCAGCCACTTGGGGCCTACCGGAAGCTTTTGGGCAGGGGCCCAGCGCAGCCAGGCAGCACGCAGCAGGCAGGCCACTTCCATAAAGGAAAAAGCCTGCCTCCGCATTGGAGATTCGGGCACTTGCTACTTGCTGCGCAAGCGCCCACGCGCTCACGGGCGAGCAGGGCACACGCAGGCAGCCATAGCCGAGCTGGCCTGCGAGATGCTGGATGGGGCGCATGGTGGTCCTTGGGCGCACGTGGCATCTGTGGGGGGGATCGAGGTTGTGAGTGAAGCGTGAGGCATACCTGGTGCTTGAGGTGAACGGCATTGGCCTAGATATGCTCGTACTTCGGGAAGCTGTTGACGTCACCAGCGGCATTGTAGATAGGCTAGATAGGATCTGCCATTCGTAGTCTGGGCGCTGAGCGCCAGATAGGAATTCGACATTGGTTCATTGTTGATGACGATGAGACTATTCCAGCACTGTCACTTGTGAGCTTTTGCTGTGCTCTTATTTGGTGGAACTCAGGTTGCAATTCTGCTTTTGGTTCGAGGTGAAGACTATCTGGTTTCATGTGTATGATGCTGCTTGGTTTCTGGAATTCGCTATCGCTCATTTTCCTTGCAAAACATTTCTTTTATGTCGAATGCCGCACTGTACAATTTAGTAATTTACCCTCTCCTTTCTTTTCTACCCAGCTATTAATTTTAATTAATTCTACTAGTAAGCATCCTGGCAGCATTTCATGTTACACCGAGTTTTGCTGAGCCTGGGTTCCACTGCAATTTCTTTTCTGGTACTCCTCCAAAAATAAATAAATAAATAAATAAATAAATAAATAAATAAGAAAACAAAAAAAGAAAACATGTTTCATCACGGTAGCTACTTTCAACAAAGGACGAAGGAAAGAAAAAAGAAAAGAATCTATGCTATGAACGAAAAGCAGTCAGATACAGAATTTGTATACATGTTAGAGTACGCCCTCAGTCAGGGCGTTATACACGTTAGTCGCGCTCCACAATGTGAAAAAAAAAAAGAAAACCCGCGATGGCCGTGAAAACGGTTCGATACAGAATGTGGATTCTGTGTGAGAATGTGCCCTCTGTCAGGACTTTACAGAGACAAGGATATCACGGCAGGTGCTTGCAAAAACTAAAAATGAAACAACAAAAAAAAAAATGCTACGGATGTGATTGCTGCTGGATACAAAATCTAGAGTGTGTGTGAGAGTGGCCCCTGTGACTAAGTGTCATGCGTGGAATGCGCCCTGCCTCACTGGCAGGGCACTAGAAAGAACAGAAAAGGAAAAAAAAATCATCAAAAACAAAATCTGAAACTATCCATGGTTGTGGTAAAATACATTCCTGGATCAGCTGATGTGAGCACACCTTATGTTCAGCTGATGCCGACGTACATAGTTGCTTCCTCTTTTTGGTGGCAAACGGGCCCACAAGGCGGAAACGTTTCTTTTGTCCTGGGCCTTGTTGGGACCCCCTAAAAATGCACTAGGACGTATATTCCCGTTTTCCCCAATGCTCAGAAAGGTAGCAGTGGTTTACAGTGAAGAGATTTGGGTAGAAGGAATGGGAGGTGGTTTAGGCCACCAACACCCCTCCCATTTTTATGTCAGTGCGGTTTCCCCCTGCGTGCCAACTGTCGCTGAAGTGCCAGTGTGGTGTTTCTTTCTTTTCTTTCTTTTGGTTGGTGCTGCCAGCTGTCGGGGTCACGTAGCCCCGAGCCTCCCAAAGAACGCGGATGTTGCATTTTTTGGACGTAGCCTGGGAAAGGTAGTGGTGGTTTATATCTCTACCGAGTAGTAGTGACTCCTCCAAATGTGGTTTTTGTAGGTTCAGACAATGAAGGACTGATTGGGCTGTTATTTCCAATATCTTTATGCGTAGGAGTATATGCCTTCCCACACCTTCCAATTTATCCGTTTACCGATTCTTTCTAGTCCTTTCATTCTTAAACCACCAGTACGATTCCCAACCATTTTTCTTCGACACGGCGTGAATGCAGCTGGAAGTTTTGGGGGTCGGCCTACCGGAGCAAAATGGCTGGCGGCGCCAGCCAAAAGGAGGCCCATGCTGGTTCGTCTTTTTTTTTGGGCGCGCAGGGCGTTTCCAGCTCTGGGAAAAAGTGGCTGGGAAGTACTTGTGGTCTAAGCCAGCAGTACGTTTCGCAGCCCTTCTTCCCCAATGCAGCGTGCATGCGGCTGCAAGTTTCGGGGGTCCGCCTACCGGAGCAAAATGACTGGTGGCGCCAGCCAAAAGGAGGCCCATGGCGGGTTGTTTTTTTTTTCGGTACGCATGGCTTTTGGAACCCTGGGAAATAGTGGCTGGGTAGTACTGTTCATTTAAATTCCCATTTGCTTTTGGCAAGGATTTCAGCCTCTGATAGCCTGTTACATACTGCATTTCACACGGGTCCCTTTCGGGCCCGACCACTAGGCCTAGGGGGTACCACAGGCCTGGACACGATAGTCCAGGCAGGTCCAGTCAAAGGCCGGACCTTTATGCGGAAGGCCGCCCAGTAGGCCCCATCGCACAGGCCCAGGTGGACACGGTCCAAACGATATTACCGTTTGGACCGGCGGCGCCCTTGAGGCTGCCGCCCACAAGGCCGATCTGAAACCGAGATCGGCAACCGGATCTGACGGTTCAGATCACGGCGCTGTTTAGCAGCAGAAAGGCCGAACAGGCCACCATGGTACTTAGCACCCAGCAGCGGTCTGTCCAGGAGGCATTTTCGGAGGAACGCAGCAGTGAGGTAGCGCTGCGCTAAGTTTAGTAGCGCAAGCGCTCAGCGCATCAGCACGATGCAGCGCAGATTAGCGCAGTGGAGGTTAGAGGAAGAGCGGCCGACTTACCTGCAGGAGCGTCCATAGCTCCGGTCTTCGTCGCTGGCCTTCAGCAGCGCCAAGGTCACACGTTGCCATCGCAGGTAAGACCTGGACAGCAAGGCACGGGCAGGAGGACTCACCTCCGCCTCTCTCTCTTCTCTCCGCCTCCACTTCTCCTTTGCCCCTCTCGGATCTTCTTCTTCTTCTTCTTCTTCTTCTTCTTCTTCTTCTTCTTCCTCTTCTTCTTCAGGCTTCTTCTTCTTCTTCTTCTTCGGACTGGAGACTATTGATACAAGTTGTACAAAGATCAGTGATTGGACTTCGGTGGTAGGAGGATGTGATACTTACCGGATTCGAGACATTGGAGATGGTTGGGATTGATACGTGGCGGCATCGCAGATCAGACACCGGTTACATTAGGATTCTGTACCTCCGACATTGGGGACTTACGTCAACGACACTCTGATTTTGTTCGGTGACATTTCGGACTACTATATCGGTGACATTTGGATTCTATTTCGGTGACATTTGGCGCTGTCCCTATCTCCCACCTCCATCGTCTCTCCTCGCACCATTCATCTCTGTATGGGTGTACGGGGCTGAAGCATCGTTTATGTATGGCTTCAGACCCCACCATCTCACGATTGCTTGTGAGTTGAGAGATGTCTAGGTGAGTTCAGTCTATGTGAGTCAGTCCATATCTCAGACTTCCGCTGCATATATGCTCATCCTATATTGGTTGATCTTTGGTTCTGCCCGTGCTTGGTGAAGGTATTCACTAGTATGCAACATAGCCACTCTTCAGTGAAGCATTAGTTACCCCAGAAGGTGTCCTTCATTCCTGCTGCATGTATTTCTGCGCACAGGATAAGAGTTTCTGCTGAGTTTTTGCCCATCGTACAAAAACTCCAAGTAGTTTTCCAATCCTTTTTAGCTTCTGCACCAACTCAGTACACTTCTCGTTGTGGTCTTTCCTCAATTTCATGCACCTTCTTACTTCGGCAAGGCATACTGATTTGTCAACACCCAGTTTCAGGGCATACTCATGCTAGAACTTTACTTATTCATGGACGTAATTGCAGTCAGATTCATGCCTGTCTGGCCGCAAAACCAGTATTCCCAATAAAAACCGGAAGCAAAAAAGAAACTACTAAATCGTGAAACAAAAAGAAAACAAATAAACCAAAAGAAAAACGGGCGCAGCAGGGGCGGCGGGGTGGGGTGATCAGAGAGAGAGAGAGAGAGAGAGAGAGAGAGAGAGAGAGAGAGAGAGAGAGAGAGAGAGAGAGAGAGAGAGAGAGAGAGAATCTTACCCCTTTTGGTTGTAAGATTCATTATGTCAGATATGTTTTGAACGTTTGGCCTCAGAGCGGGCACGCGCGCTAGAGAGAGAGAGAGAGAGAGAGAGAGAGAGAGAGAGAGAGAGAGAGGGAGGAGCACTCCGAGTTCGCCTCGAGACCCCGGGCAATTATCCGGGACTCTCTCTCTCCGTCTCTCTCTCTCTCTCTCCCTCTTTCTTATAGTCAAAATGAGAATGAATCTTCCGCAGTAACGCGGAAGATTCATTCTCATTTTGACGATACATCCCGCAGAGGGAGTGTTACATACTCCAATGAGTATGGGCAGAACCAAGGATCAACCAATGTAGGATGAGCATATATGCAACGGAAGTTTGATGAACGGACTGACTCACATAGACCGACTCGCATAGACCGACTCACATAGCATCACTCCACACACATACAATCGTGAGGTGGTGGGGTCTGAGCCATACATAGAAGATGCTCAGCCCCGTACACACATACACAGATGAATGGGGGAGGAGAGACGAAGAGGTGGGGGGAGGTAGACAGCACCGAAAGTCACCGAGATAGGATCTGATAGGTCACCGATATGGTAGTCCAAAATGTCATCCAACAAGATCAAAATGTCGAGGACCATAGGTCACCAATGTCGGGGATACAGAGTCCAAATGTAACCGGTGTCT